ATGCCGTTTGTTTGTTCTTGTTTAAGGTTACGTCCAGGCACAAGTCTCTTCGATAGGCTTCCACCTCGCATTTCATCCGTGAGTCGACGAGTCAAGCCATCGTGCGCCTGCGTTAAAAGGGGAAACCGCCGATTCAATACGTGTGACGTCAAACCTCTGCCAGACACCGACAAAGGCGGGAAACCTGTCAAACCTATAAAAGTTCCTCCTCGACCGAGAAAGCCTGGGAAAAACGATAATAAGGACTACGATCCCAACGCAATCAATTACGTTTTCAAGCCTCCTAAAGTGAACTACAAGGTCCCGAGCTGGCCTACTCGCACGGGAATAACTCGCAAGAGAGCCACGGCACATTGCAGAAAACTGCTGAAGAATTCTCGCGCGGCACGTGTGTGTAGGAAAGTTGTTAGTACCAAGAGGCTAAAACTATTAAAAGAATGTGTGACAGATATTAAGGTTGGTATACAATTGTTGACATGAGTATTATTAAGCACTTGCTGACTGTTTCTTAGGGGTTACCGCGGTTTTAGTACAGGCCTATTGAGAATTTTTTGTATTGGTTTTTTTATTGTGTAGAATGCGAAAAAAAACCCGTGATGTCTTATTTGTGCAGTTCTAGTTATTCATGTTCCGGAAAAGACTTGAAGTTATTGAGTTCTTATGTAAAACCTTCTAGTATAGAAAACTTAAGCGTCTACACTTCGAAACAACCCCACATAGTACAAAAGAGATTCACTGTATTATTATTATGTTTATTATTATTATCCTCATTATTTATTTATTAATTAATTTATTTATTATTGTAGATATCAGGAAAGTTGTCCATGGCCAAATCGTCTTTGTCCAGTTTGCAAGATGCATGCAAGACTGCAGCTCTGGTAAATCCCAAAAACTACATGAAAGACAAAAAAGGCCGTCTGGTCCCCAACAAGAAGATCATCGGTAAACTCTGCCCAGACAACTGCAACAATCGTGGCCGCTGTGTAAACGGCAAATGTCGCTGCTTCAAGGGTTATGCCTCAAGTGATTGTAGTGTTAATAAGAGATTGCCACCCAAACTTACCTACATGCAGTCTAAAGGAATGTGCGATTTACGGAATCGCGGCTGCCGATTTGAGAGCATGCATGGACAGGGATTCTGGGAAGGGCACATTAACTGTCACATACAGAAAGCCAGGGTGGGTATTGGAGAATGTTCTTGTGATTCAAATTTTGTTCGCGTGGTACATTTTACATCTTGGCGGCGGGGCGGGAAATGGAAGGTGAGCTGGAATATCTGCATCGAAAAAGTCGATGCAAAATGGTGATTGCAGGAGATGACATAACTAATGACATCATTACCCTTCGCGCTCGTTTCCGCTTCGCGATGATTGAAGGAAATCTGACAGCTCAGTCGATGGGGAGCCCCCGGGGAATTGGAAGTGGAATTCAAATTCCAGACACGTACTGTAGTTGCAAGCTCTCTTTCCTTTTCCCGCCCTGCCGTTCGGGCGCTCCGGAGAGCTTGCTTGCAGGTTAACTAAACTAGGTGTTTGTGACAAACATACTGCATACTTCTAAGACGTGAATGTCAATATGTGCTGCTACGTAATGAAAGAAATGAGGTGTTGAACTCAAGCCACATTCAGTTTCTCTGTCTTATAGTGCCCCTTTCTATCATAGGAGAGGTAGCTCTTGTAAACTCTCCCCTTGATTAATGGAAAATATTGACGTCAATTTATCACTAACGAAGCTTAAGAATGCTCGTATGTTTGTTCCTAGCCACAAAATGGAAAGTTATACGTTTCCACTAACCTCCGCATAAAAACTTATTTCACCAAGCTTTACATTTTTTTCTTCTAGCTGCTGAGGGGTAGGTGGCGTACAATCGGCAGACAATGGAGAGTACACGGTCATTTGCAAAGCTTCAGTGAAGCAAGATGCAAACTTCCATTCCCTTTTCCTCGCGCCAGAAAACTCCGTGGTCTTCCACTCAGGATACTGGTGTCTGTTTCTAATAACCGAGTCTTAAAAAGTAACAAGTTGAAGTTAGTTATCTACGATTCTGCCTGCCATCGGTGTCTGGCGAGTGGATTGTGCTGGCGAAAGGTAAATCTTCGCGTTTCAAAGATCGCTATTTTTTTGTTGTTATCCCTTCACTCTCGAAAATGTCAAAGTAAGTGTTTGAAAGTTTCTTTTTGCTAGTTGATATTATCGGATCCTTATTGGCCCACCCCTCCCCTAAGCCAACATTTTTCCTCGAGTGAGAAGTAAGTGTTAAGGTTGACTAAGGGGAGGGGTAGGTGGTCCGTTTCCTAAAAACCTAAATTGATCCACGCCATCTCCTCTCTCCAATCTATTTTTGTCATTGTACAGAGAACCAATTGCATCATTGGAGGGTTATGTTACGCAGCCAACGAGCGCCATCCGAACAACAAAGGGCTGAAATGTCTTCCACAGATCAGCAGGAGTGCCTGGACAAGAGGTTAGTAACGTGGAAACTTATCCTGTCAAACTCATCATGCAACAAGTTTGAGGACGAGAGCGACATTTAATTTTACGTTTTCCCGCCTATTCTCTAAAAATAGACAGCCCGGAATGCTTCATTGTACTTTTTTTCACCACAAAAGTTAGCACGCTTATTTCCGTTGAAGGAGTTAAAGCCCACTCCCGATCGTTAAATGATGAAATTCGTAACATTTGATAACTTGTTTTCGTCACTACGACATTCTCGCTAAAACTCGTAGTAGAATGACGATGGCTATCACATTTTCCCGCCAAAATGACCGGCTGGTTCCCCCGCGCCCACTATTTAATTAGTATTGGGAAAATATCCTTCTCGTAGTCGTCCTCGTCTTAGGGTGAAACCCTCTACTAAGTCTCGGGGGACATTAAGTGAGACTAATTCTAAAATAACAATTATCATTGATGTGAAATTCTAGGTAGAAAATGCCGGCCTAAATAAACATTATTTACAAAAAATGATAGTTGTTTACCTTAAAAATGCACCGCAATTAAATAAATACATCCTTATATTCTAAGTAAGTATTAAGACTAAGAAAACTAGATCAAAGAATCAGTAAGACAAAACGATTTGGTTATCTTGTTTGTCAAGTGCTACTTAGTGCGCATTTCGCAGATAGTACGTAAAAGATATGGGTAGCTTCAATTTGGATGATTAAACTAAGCAATTTTACAACAGCCTAAAAGATAGAACCACCTTGAGTAAAGATACCGAATGCTGTCTATATGAATTGTCACGCTAAACTGTGTTACTAGTGAGAATGTTCAAAACGTTCTTCCTTTCTTCAGTATCACAGCAATACAAACCGCTAGGAATGAAAAATGGACGTATCCCTTCAAGAGCAATCAGTGCTTCCTCGAAATGGGACCGCTACCATGGGCCAAGTCGTGCCAGGCTTTACATTACTCAGCGCGGTCGTTACAGAGGGGCGTGGTCCGCGCGGCATAATACCGCATATCAGTGGATCATGATTGACTTCTTTACACCTGTGAAAGTTCTGGCTCTTGCCACGCAGGGCCGTGCTGATGCCAGCCAATGGGTCACGAGATATTATTTGACGTACGGGTTTGATGGGATCAATTTTGTACCGTACATGTGTCGAAAGGTACGAAATTAGGATTTTCGTCCCTTAACTTGTAAAATTCTCTATTTAAAAGTAATTGACCTTTATACGTTTGCATAGTAAAGAAGAGAAGAACCGAAGTTTTAAGGGTTAAAAAAAAATAACCTTTCCAAAGTTTTAACCATACTTAACGTCGCCTTGTCATGTTATAGTCTGATTGGTATTCATAGGGTATTAAACTTGGTTCTAGATCTAGCAAGTAAGCGTACGCGTAAAGGTATCCCAGAGTGGTTGAGTTCGAGAAAAAAAAGGGATAAGTGTATTATTGGTGCAAGTGCATAATGTAGACGACTGAAGGAATGTCTTGGTTATTGGTCGTGGTGGATGCAATATTAAAAGACTGATCGTTTGTAGTGATGTGGATGTTGTTTGTTCCCACAAAATTTATTTGTTATGGGATTACCTTCCCCTGTTAAGGTCTTTGAAAATCAAGTTTTGTTGATGTTTTGATTTTGATTTTTAGACATTCCGTGGAAATAGCGATAGAAACACGGTTGTAAGACACCGTCTTTCTCCCGCCATCCGAACTCGCTTTATCCGCATTCATCCTGTGGGTTGGAGAAGCCATATCTCTTTGAGGGCTGAATTTTATGGCCACAAAACAGGTAAGAGTGATTTTTTATTTTGAAAAAGCCAAAGAAAACGCCAAGAGTAAACTAAGGCATGAGTGTGTCCAAATGGCGAAGAGGAAAAAAACTCTCATTTTCAAAACGAGGCTACGTGCGAAACCTCTCTTGTGAAAATGAGTTTTAGCTACATGAGAACAAAAAAATAATTTTCATGAGTAGTAATGGGGGTTAGAATAGGTGGTAGCCAATCAGAGCGCGAGAAAGTCAATAGAGGTATTGGGGAATAGGGGTCACGTGACCTAATTTGCATGTTTTTGACGTCATAAGGTCACGTGACCTTTCTGGCTGTCAGATAGTAGCCAATCAGAGCACAGTATTCTCTAACTAGTCCCCAAGCCCCCGGAAGTGACTCCCCTGTTCACCGGAAGTGAGATCACAACTAGTCCCCAGTCCACCGGAAGTGACCGTGCGACCGGAAGTGAATGTGCCACCGGAAGTCACTCCCTAGTCCACCGGAAGTAACCGCGATTTGACTGCGCAACCGGAAGTGACTCCCCAGACCCCGGAAGTGACTTTACAACCGGAAGTCACTCCCTAGTCCACCGGAAGTGACGGCGAGACCGGAAGTCAACCCCTCAACTAGTCCCCAGGTCCCGAAAGTGTTGCACGAATGGAAGTCAAGAAAATAACACGCTGTATGGCCAATAAAAAAAAAAATCACTTTTTGATTTAATACAATCTCGAGCCTAGGTTACAAGTGGGACGTGTGTGACGTCTTAGTGACGTCACGCACTTTACCTGTTATTTACAGATCTAGTAACAGTTGCAGTTCATCGCCAATCCTTCGAAAGCCATAAGGGTAACTGACGGCATTCGTGTTTAGTACACGTTTATCAAAAACTAAACCGTACTGTTTGACCCTTGGAACAACCCGTATTTGTTTTTTTTCAACATCTCGTTGAAAATGATATGGGGTGACAATGTTCAAGTTGCGACGAGAGTCTTGCGGGATGTGTAGTTCATCCAATATGTTTTGTTTCATTGACTGAAAATTCAGGATGGCGGAACCACGTGCATTTAAAGTGAATCCTCGTACCTTGCAAACGCTGTTACCTCCACGGGTCAGGTAGGCATAGTTTTTAGCTCCGGCCGACACAAAGTCGGTGATGACGTCCCCTTCGAGTTCATCCTTCATTTGTCCTAGGAAATCTCCAGTGGAGATCGACTTGAGACCATGTCTCCACTTGTAGAAAACGCTATCAGTGTCCATGTACAGGACTTGCTGATTCAGCAAGTCGAGCGACTCATACAATTTGAGCCTAGCAAGGCTTGTTGTAAACGCTGCGATAAAGATATTGTTTTTTGTTCCCTTTGGTGCATTTTCATTAACACTTGTATAGACGGCCTCGAGGATGTCATCGGTACAAATTCGGATTGTTGAAATCTCTTTGGTCGTATCAGATAGTAAACTGAACAAATGGCTGGGTTCTTTCACTGCCACGGTAGTGGGCTTATTCAACTTTTCTCCAAATTTGCCCCAGAAACTGCAAGAAAATAAAAAAGAAATAAGATGAGAAGAGGAGGTATGACAGCATCGAAAAAATGCAACATGAAACAAGTACCTATTGAGCATAAGTTTCGCGGTGGCTTTTCTGCCGGGGTTTTTGGCAATCTTGCTGATGTCTATTCGTATTCCTTCACGCTCCTGGTACTCTTGTATGTACCTTCTCTTCTGTTCTAAGGTCTCGCACCAACTCGGCCACCCTGCCGACTCTTGTTTGAGCTTTAACCACTTATCAACATATTCAGCAAAGAGGCCTGTTTTTCTTTGCGACTCGGGAAAATGCCAGACCTCATGGATCTTGATTATTTGGTAGCCTTTCTCAATAGCTTTCTCTATCTCAGGGGTACACCATGTACCCCTGAGCATCCGTTCCACATCTGTGTGAGAACAATAATGTGTTCTCTGCAACATTGGCTTTGTTTGCTCCTCTTGCACACATTTACTGCAGAGAGGAAAGGTGAGTTTTTTACCATAGCGGACCGGTAATACCGGATGAAAGAGGCCAGCTGGAGGAAGAATGTCTACAAGAGCGATTCCAAAATACGAATGAATGCTTTGGTCTGCTGGCTGCGTGATGATGTGAGGGTGTCCTACGGGATAGGTGCCGGTTTTGTTGACGTAGGGGTAGAGGGAGGTAATATCGGCATAGCGAATTTCCTCCCCCTCCCCTACCGCGGAATGAAGGACGACAGCTCCCGTACGGCCACCATAAAAAGCATCTCTCGGATTCAATGGCGCAACAAGATCGAATGAGGCAAGAAAGCGTTGAACTGTTTGATTAGTTTTGACCTGCTCGTCCCACTGGCACTCCCAGCATTCAAAAACATTATAACCTGCATGGAGCAAAGCTGTTCTCTTAGCCTCAGTGGCATTGTAGAGTTCTTGAACAGTACGATCTGGAGCACAATAATGTTTTATGTCTCGCATGGGATAACAGGTGGGGCAACCGTGGTAGAGGCATCCGTGAAACTCATAAATCGTGTTTGTACTGGCGTCGTACCCGTCGACGTAGTAGATGCTTGTGGAAGTGCGTACGGTTTGTTCGCCGCCATTGCGGACATGCCGGATTCTGTCCGCTGATGCCCCATTCTTGGGGATAAGTTGTTCTTGAAAATAAAGCCATTGTAGGGATTTCAGGGAATGGTTAACATTTGCCCCTCTCCATCCTCTAATGGGTTCGACGGCAATTGTGTTCGGCTCTAAATGGTGCTTGCGCCAATACAAATTACAGGCACTGGCGATAGTAAAACAGTGAGCCATCGGATTAAATCCAGCCTCACGTGAAAATTCCTGTTGAAATTTCATACACCCTTGTTTAAGCAATTGGACATCCGATTTACAATATGCAATCAACTCCTCCTTGAAAATAAAGGTCACGTTGCGTCTAACTTGTTCATCATGCCAATGTAGGAGTTCTTCTTTTTTGGCAGGCATCATACCGTCAGGGTCGTAGAATTCGAGATCCGGTATTCGGCCCACGTACTGTTGGTTTTCGGGCGTGTTGAACAAATGGGGGAAAAACCCCTTTTTCAATTCCTTCAAATTAAAAGTTGCAGGAAAAGATGCCAATGGCATTGGAAGGAAAGATAAACTATCAATAAATTTCAAGGGTCCGCTTGTAAACGACAGGACCTTGGCTCCAACTGTTAATTGATTAATGACTTGTCTTTGCTGTTGATAGAGTTCATTGATGATGAAAATTCCGTCAAACGCCTTTAAGTTATGAAAGACCACAATCACTTCTCTTTGTTGTTCAATGTTGTCTGGCACTTCTGCAAGATCATCGAGTTCATGAAGAAATTGCAGAGTACAATTGTCTCCGTCCAATACATGGATGTCTTCTTCTTCCGACGAAGAATAACATAATAGGTTTGCAATAAATACATTCTCCTCATTCTGATAAGCCTCAATGTCTGCATAAACAAACAGGGGAGGGGGTGGCGCCACCATGCTACCTCCCCCCTCCTCTGTTGGTTCCTCAGTCTCCTCTACCTCTTTCTCTTGTACTACAGGTTGAATGTAACATCGATGGTTATTTATGTACACGTATTCTTTACAGACGTTACATTTCGCGTAGCCACAGCGATGTCTTTTGCCATTAATTACTGCATACTGACCCTGACACTGAAGGCATGTTTTTTGCGTTTCGCATTGATTGCTTGCAAAATGATGCTGTTTACAATGAATCCCAAAGAACTTGGTGTGGCAGTGCGAACAATAATCTGAGGGTTGAGTTCCCGGAATATAATCTTCACAGTTAAAACGGCTACATGCCGTGCAACGTTTGCCTCGACAGCTGTGGTGTGATTTATCATTAGTGTTGAACGCCCTTTCACATTCAATACAGTAATAGGAGCGATTTTGGAAGGCGGAAAAACTGGTACAACCATCATAATGATTATTGCTTTTGAGGAGACAAATTTGATTAGGTGCGGGAGGTCCTTTATAGAAAAGATAGAAGGGATGCATGCGTATCATGGCTAGTAACTGGTACGATGGACCCAGTGCTTGTTGAAACTGTTCTAGCTCAGGTAAACCACATGCCCCCTCGGGTACACCCGCTTGACGATGCAATTCTTGCGCTTCACCTTTCTGCACGGGATACCCACGCTTGAGATTGTCCCATTTTCTAAACTCGTCCATTCCCTCGTTTTTGTGACAGTAGGCCCTCATCGTCACTATGGCTCTAGCACAACACAAGTCATCTTGATTGTTGATGGTTATTATGCACTTTTTTTTTTTGTTTTCTCTATCCAAACACCTTTGTCCAGGGTTGTTTTTTTTGCGACCTTTACCTTTTCCTGGCATTTTTACAAAGACGACATCGACGGAGAAACCCTGACTAGGGTTAAATGCTTCGTTGCTGTTTAGCTTGCCTGCAAGTTTTTGTAACATTTCATCCAATCTTGCAGTCCGTTGTAGGAATTCACCGACCGTGAAATTTGTAGTCTGATAAGCGTGTGCGAAAGAATTTGCCGTGATGGCAAAGTTTATAAAGTGATGGGCAGGTCTGTTTTGTCGAATGAGTTCATTTTCAATGGCGTTGTATAAACTTTCTGTTAAGGCTATACCAATATTGTCACTGGGGTGGGCATCCCGTAATTGAATTAATTCGACATCAAATTGCTGCCGCTGCACAACATCTCTCCAGGTACGACGTTTTCCAATTTCACGCAATCTGAACTTAAAGAGGGGCCCACTGACCACACCGCCTCCTCCCAATTGCTCCCATCTTTCCATCGCTCGATCCAAAATTTCATCTTCTCTTTCGTCTTCATCACTGAAATTGTAGTACTGTTCCATGTTAAGGTGAAAACCTCCACGATGTGAAGTTGGTGACGCTTGACGTCGACTTATATAGAGGAAATCACGTGATACACCACGATCAGTGATTGGTGGACAACTGGATTGAACCGGATTCAAACCAGTTGTTTAAAGTAGATATTAAACCAGGTTTGCAAACAGGCTAAACTACTTTTTAAATCTGCTTTTGAAATAGATTCTCATGATCTACCTCCATCTTGAAAAAAAGGGATCAAAATGAGGCTGTGCACCCTGTTATATACCCCATTCTTTGACGTCATTTTGACGTGGCATCTTGTTATTGGCTTCTCAAAACGAGGCTGCTCTCTGATTGGTTCTTGTCATTGACGTCATGATTGACACCTGTCACTCATGAATGTCTTTTTTGTTCTTCTAGGATTTTTCTTTTTTCTAGGTTTTTTCTTGCTTTCTAGATTTTGTTTTTTTCTTCTAGGAATTTTTTTTTTCTCTGATTGTTAGATTTTTTTTTTCTAGGTTTTTTCTAGAGTTTTTTTTGCTTTTAAGAAGAGAAGAAGAAGAAAAGAAGTTTCAGATCGGGCTCGAACTCATAACCTCTGGATCTGTTTTCAGTGTGCGCGCGATCCCACCTACACTACTACGGATAAGCTAAGATGTCTTAGGCAAATTGAAGCAGTCCATAGTTTGCGCGCGTTGCCTTTCACTCGACCTTGTATCAACTCGGACCGCAAGTCCAGGCTCGCATGTATTCGCATCGGCTTCAATGCATCCGAAATGGAATAAAAAAATTACATTAGACTTGAATCAACTCAAAGCTACTCTCAAAAAATCATTTTACATCGCAAAAGAAAGATAATCACTGTCGACCTCTCTTTTCTGTTCGACCGCCATTTTGTTTTCTTCTTGGCATTTGCGTACATTTTTTTTAATGACTGTTTGCCGGTTGCGAAGAAAAAACCACCGAGTTGTACTCATTTACTAAACGTGAACCTGTTTCACAAGGAAAAAAGAAGACACCAAGCTCATCTAGCATAACTCAACTTTTCCTTCTCCGTGCGTGAATTGAACTCGCGACTCTCGATTGCATCGAACTGCAGCACGTGGAGTTACACAGAGAGATGGGAGTTCAATTCACGCACGGAGAAGGAAAACTTGAGTTATGCTAGATGAGTTTGGTGTCTGCTTTTTCCAAGTCAAACAGGTTCACGTTTAGTAAATGAGTACAACTCGGTGGTTTTTTCTTTGCAACAAGCAAACAATCAATAAAAAAAAATATACGCCATCCCGAGAAGAAAACAAAATGGCGGTCGATCGGGAAAGAGACATTGACCGATTTCTCTTTTAGTATCTGCGTTGATTTTCAAAAAAATGCAAGAGTTTACTCATGTAGTGAGATGGGAAGGATTTCTTTTATGTGGCTGGAAGGGATGCAGGTGAGGAGGTTGTCGTTTTGTACCAATAAAAAAGACACACAATACATCCAGTTGCACAAGGTGTTTTATTGAATATCTCGTTGCCAATGAAATAATTGATCAATATCGTTATGCGTGAAACCCAAGAATTCATAATCATAGGTACCATATTTGTTTAAATTGAAAGAAAATAAACACAATAAAGCTTCAATGACAGAATCTTTGGGTCTCATAAAATTCCAACAAAAATCCATGTTGCCTCCCCATTCTGGCGGACTGGGATGTTGTTTTTCCACCATTTTCCATTGCCATTCTTCATGAATGTCATGAAAGGCGAGTTGGGGTAACAGTTCCATCAGAGTATCTGCAAGTTGACTTCTGTAAGTATACCATTGTTTACTCCAGGCTTCCACACTAGGAGGGATTAAGTGTACATTTTTATCCATACCAAATTTTTGAATCATCGCATAAGCTACACTCCACACCCAATCTCTGGCCCAACCAGTGGTCGAGAGTTTATCTTGTAAATTTTTATCTTGAAGTATATACATGAGTAGCAATCAGTTCCTTGGTGAACTCTTGGTAGATTTGAGTGTTCAGCCGATACAATTCGTAATTTAAATTTTCAAAGGTGTACTCTTGATTAGAAATAGCATCTTGAATCAAATCACGAATAAACTCTTTGTAAGTCGAAGAATTACTGAGCGGATGCCGGCTCAGTAGTTTGTCCATGCAGTTCGTCACTTAATCGATGCAAGGTGTTGGAAAAATCTTCTAACCAATGCGTATAACACTCGTGAAATGTATACCCTGCGGCCAATCCTCGTTGGATTCTTTCTAGCATGTAATCTTCCCAAGAGGGAAAATCACTCTGGTGAAGAGTCCTGTAATAATCTTTCATTCGCTTGAGCTCGTTCTGCGCGTCGACTTTTTCTGACCAAATGACGTTCATGCATGAGTTGTCGCAGTTTTATACGTCTTTGTTGAAAAAAAGGAGAGGACCGGATTGGTCGATTCATCTCGTAAAGCTTGTTTTTTTAACAGGATGGTTTCCCCTATGGGTTGATACACCTCAACTTGTGGAGAAAAATGAACTTTCTTGTTCATCTTAAAAAGGTACGTTGAAAAAGAGCTCTCATCTCCTTTTTACCTTGTTCCGTAAACTGTCTCGATCCTACAATCCCCACATGATCATAGAGAGTGAGAGAACAAGCACTTTTCAAGTGTTGAAACTGACATTTTTTCACATACGAACCCTTTTGTAGATGATAATAGATAAACTCGTACCACTGGTTGTCGGTCAAGTCAAACAGGTACACGCGTTTCCCCATATCCAAAGCCAGTTGAACGGTCCAACCCGTTCCACCTTGAACTTTAGTCTTGTTAGCGTCTAAGTAACCAAAGGCATACAGAGCATAAGATTGTCTAGCAATAAAATAATTTCGAACCATTAATTCTTCAAAATAAGTAGCTGTACCAATAGGACTTTTACGTTGAAGGGTTTGGTTGGCTCGTTTGATGGATTCACGAGCATGATAAAGATCAGCTTCAGTGGGTTGAATGGGGCTAAGACATTTAGCTCTGGGATGATTTGGGCCTATTTTGATATCCAACCGACATTCATACGCCAAAGCCAGTCGTTCAGCATATTCATCTGCTCCTTGGGCTCCACCGGTCACAATGGTATATTTTTCACCCGCCGGATGTTCCATGGGTTCTTCTGCAAAGTCGTCTTTTTTTCCCACAAAATTCCTGACCTGTGTCCATGTTTTTGAAGGCTCTGCAGGATTGGAGGAAGCCATGGTTAGAATGAAGAAATGATTGAGGATCACTAGTAATATACTTGTTTTGAAAAAACATGTTAAACGGGTTTTCTTTTAAAAACAAGTGAAACCAGTACAAACAGGTTAAAACCAGTCAATCCAGTACAAACGGGTTAAAACCAGTCAATCCAGTTGTTCCGCTAGCGCGTTGAAACAAAAATGATTGGTTGAAGATCAGGTGATCGCGCTTATATAGTCTCGGAGCAACTCGTCATTTTCATCAGTTGCATCATGCAGTCACCAGTCGAGGCTCCACCCGTGAAACGAAAATATACCAAGAAAGATAAACCTGACTCCAAAGAAAAAAAGAAGAAAAAACCCAAATGGGAAACAGATTCTCCTGCTTTGAAGACCGATCCTGTCAAAGAAACACCCGAACCCATGGTGGTAGAAAAACATTATGTGATGAAAGATGAGCAATGGGTCGAAGAAAAAACAGAGCAAGAAAAAGATCAGGCCATTCAAGCCTTGTTGGCTGAAGTGGACATGATTCCTCAAATTGGAAGTCCCCCCGGACCGCAAAGTCGGAGCCCACCTCGAGCGCCTTTAGCCGTGGTGGATTTGGTAACGTGCCCCTTCCACTTGAAACCTCTCACTCGTAAGAAACCACCCGATGAGATTGAAAAACAAGAAGTGCTGTTTTGCCCCGACATTGATTGTCCCGTGTTCCTATTTGCCAGTCACATCGATGCTTATCTACAAGCTCTGCATTACACACTACCCAGTCATGATGTGATGGAATGTTGGGACATTCTACAGTGTTTCTGCCATTTCACCCCTGTGCTGAAACTGAGTCAATCGGAAACCAACCCCAATCGCTTGTACTTGAGCTGCAACAATTGGCAGAAAGAGTTGAAATGCCCTTACTTCCAGTGGTATGATCAACCTTTTACCAACAAGAATGCAGCTTGGCAAGATGAAATGCGATTTGAATTCAAGCAGTTACCCGTGCCAACTAGTCGAGAAGAAGCCAAAAGAAAAGCGCAAGAACACAAAGAAGCTTGCAAAAAGATGGCCTTTCAGCAGTACTTTACCAACTTGAAAGCAGACATGGAGGAAAAACGGAAAAATCTGATGAAAACAGGAGGCAGCACCGGCTGGGGGGCTCCACGCGAAGACGGCGCGCGCGAAGACGGCGGCGGCGGCGGCGGCGGCCCGCGCGAAGACGGCGCGCGCGAAGACGGCGGCGGTGGCGGACGGAAAAGTAGTGCCTTTGTCTACTATACAAGAGCAGTACCATCATCCAACAATTGGGGTATCACTGAGCAACAGTATGGAACAGTCAATTTTTGATGAGACATTACCTTGGAAGAAGTTACCTTATTTTATTCAAGAACGTATTTATTGGCGTCCGATGGTTCACGCACGAAATAACATGGGATGGAAAGCCTTGCATGAACAATTGTTTCCATTCGACTATGGAAAACAACAATGTTGGGATTGTGGAAATGAGTTGACGAAAATGCGTCGGTTTGAAGAACATGATCTTCCTGTAGTTAAATATATAAAAGATATTAATATTCATAGTCACTTTAAGTTTTGTTGCAAGAAATGTAAACTGTTTGGTAGAAGAAAACTATATCGTGTAAAACATAGTCACCAAGGCATGTTTCCTCGAACCGATCTACCATTTTACAAAATACATGTTTTTGGGTATCTTGTGGTTAATATACATCGTCCATCGTCCAATGCGTATAATGGTCATTTATTGACTGGTTATCATATGGGTTATGAAATCAATGCAGTCAGGAAACTCACTCGATATTATGATGAAGATAATGTCTAT